TGAAATTAAGCAACGTGCAAACTTTGCGCAAGAGTTATGCCGGTGAACAGCTGATATAACTGTCTTGAATTATTCCCTTAATATTTCTCTTGTGGCCCGTACATAGTGAAAAACAAAGATAAATGTATTTTGCGTTAAACATTGTTTTTGAAAGTCGGTGCTTGAAATAAAGCTGTTCTTCATTTTCATTGATGACTGCAGTGTTAATAATTTTAATTATAGGGCTATAATTCATTGTATAAATTAATAGACCTGTTTTAAAAGACCTTTTTAAATAATTTTTTAATGAGGAGTAAGCTAATAGCCTAATCTTTTATTATCCTCACAGTGCGTCAGTTATGCGGTGGTGTGCTATGAAATTATTGCGGGGCAAATTAATTGTAATTTAATAATAAAAATAATCTAATAATAATAATAGGCCTAATAATAAGAAGAATGTAACAGGCCTACATTAATTGGAAATGCCAAATCCTCTTAATATTGCCAACATTTGATGCTTTCGACAATATCTCTGGCCGTTGTCACGGTCTCGCGACCAAAGATAGCCTACGATCATTTTCTGACAGTGTCAGAGATTCAGCGTGATCATCGCACAGTGTGTTTGCTGCTACGACCCACGTTTACTGACCAGCCAATAAAAATGCGACACGAAATCAACGTGACACTGCGCTAAAACATAAAACTGCTTACCTCAAGCTCGTATCCCTTCCTCTTTTGCCGCTTCCACTATTTTTCAGCACACATAAAAACTACAACTGCCAAAGTGTGATTCATCGCGCTCTTTTTGTTTATGACTAGCGCATGCTGATGACGTTTTATTCTTCTATAGTAACGTGCGTCGCAGCCTAGAGTCAATAGGTGTCATCATCATACAGTCTGCATGCAAGTAGTACCCGAGTTTATCAGATGCAGTGTGATTTGCAATGATCATACAGGATTGCTGAAATTGTGCAGTATTTCTCGGGCTTACGACGAAACGATGACGAGACGACAATAAGGTCAATAAACGATAACTGTGACTATATCAACATGCAATATCATTGACGAAAAAGACGAGACTAAAAATAAAAACTATACCAAAATTTATTTTAATTTTTTTGTCGAAAAAAAGGAGACAAAATATCCGCTTGTTTAGTCGTGACGTAAGAAATGCTGTTTCCGGGTCCAAGCCTCAACTTGTTTTGCGTGAGAATACTATCTCAACAGCTGTTTATGAGCACTGTTTAAGCTAAACACATTTTATTACACGTTTAAGCTAAACATTTTGAAAACCGTCTCCGTGCTCACAGCGTCCCAGACACAAATAATTTTTATATTTATTTATTTATATTTATATTTTCATTGTCTGGCTATCTGGAATTTCGGTTTGGAGTTAAGGGTTAGGATTATAATTTTTGGTGGTATTATATCACATTGTGAGTGTATATTACCACCGTTTGTTGTTTTCTTGTGGCATCTGATAGAGCATAGGTCTTCAACCCCCTGATAGCACACGTACATCACGGAGACGACAATTTGACGTCTGCATTTACATCTGCAAGACGTATTTTTTAGAGTGTTTGCTCATCTGCAATACGTCTATAGGACGTTTCCTATCAGATGTCAAATAGACGTTTAGAAGATGTCTTTAAGATGTTTTTGATTTAGAATGCATGTAAAACTGACATCTTATAGACGTCTATCAGATGTTTGTACACAGCAGATGCTTTCCAGATGAAGCAATCTTTAACAGACATCTTGCAGACGTACGTGTGCCCTCTGGGCCTGATCCTGGGGACCCACTTTCCTGCAGGGTTTAGCTCCAACCCTAATCAAACACACCTGAACCAGCTAATCAAGGTCTTCAGGATCACTTGAAAAGTCAGAGGCCAGGTGTGCTGAAGCAGGTTGGAAATAAACTTTGCAGGACAGTGGGTCCCCAGGAGAAGGGTTGAAGACCTATGTGATAGAGCGTTTGGACCCAGAAGCGGTGAGGTGTGACGTCAAATTAACAAACGTCAAACTTTATTGCAGACTGCTGTACACGCCTCTAGCTTTCATGTGTTTCATATCAAGAGTTCAAATCCGCAATTCAGAGCTTCTCTGTTACAGTAAAAGGATACATTTCTGCCCGGTGTTTTGCAAATGTTTTGCAATCTGGCAACCATGCGCACACACTCGCTCTTCATTACAGAAGTGCCGACGATGATCTGAAAACACGACAAACAAGTAAGCTGAAGTTTAGCGATCTCCGTGTGAGATGTTCAGCTTAAATGAAAGTATCATTCAGCCTGTCTGTGTTCTGTCAGGAGCGCTTGACTATATTTTGTTTGCATTTGTGTTTGCTGAATAAATGCACTTAACTCAACCGCTCTTGTTTTAATAGAGAAACATTATTGCAATTTGGAATTATTGTTAGAAATTTTAATTTTGAAATATTTTGTTTGTTTTTGCTAGTTTTCATAATGTAGACCGAGAGAGTGCATATCTAAGTCTTTGATATTAATTTATATATTAAATAGCCTACAATAAATCAGTACAATAGATGAGGTTAAATAAATCGTCTGTATGAGTCCACATTCTATTGATTTGTGCGTATTAGTGAAAGTGCAATACCTGAAATGTAAAAATACATTTTTAAATAAAACAATCTTTGTGATTTATAATTTTGAGCCCAAAAAATAATGTTATCAGTTGAACTATTATGCAGCATGACGAAACGTTTTCATTGACTAAAACTAGACTAAACAAACACAGGACAATGTTGACTAAATATGACATTTGACACCAGGACTAAGCCTAATTTAAAAGACTAAATCTAAGACTAAATTAAAAATGGCTGACAAAATTAACACTAGGGCTGCGTTCCAGTTCACTTTTAGACGCGCACTCACAAACTTCCCTAAGCACTTCCCCTCGGGGGAATCCCCGCTGCCATTTTGAAGTGCATTCCACTTCGTCAAGTGGACGAGGGAAGTTTACAGGGACATACTCTCGACCCCTCGATTTTGACCGAGGGAGTGAGTCTGCTTCATATGCACACTTCAGGCTGCTCCATAGACCACAATGCAACACGATTATGACGTCATCGCAGATCGCGTTTAATTTATCCCCACCCCAAACAACTCTATAATATATGAATTTTTTTTTTTTTACATTTATAACAGCCCAAGCATATCTATATACATATAGAATGCTGCACCAAACAAATTCATAAGGGAAAAAATGTAAACAATAAACCAACTCCATAGCTGATTCTAAGTGATCAAGGGCTTAGGACGTTCCAGTTCAGCCCATTCCAAGGGTTCCGCCAGAAGTGGGCACGCATGCAACGTAATCAATGACGTACATCCGAGTAAAGTTTGCGAGTGAAGGGCATAAAAAAATTGGACTGGAACGCAGCCTAGTACTGATGTGGTTCCCTTGCAGTTTGTGCAACAATGAATAAGGAACTGAGAGTATCCGTGTCATACAGGATACAGTCTGTCGGTTCAGGATTTGCATAAAGGTTTAATGCGGTTCACAGGCCTCTTATCAACACACAAAGAGGAAGAGAAACGTAGTGTAAAACAGACTTTTATTGTCTTAAAAGCTCATATAAATCTCACTCATTTAATTTCAAGATAAAAAGAACATGGTTGCATTTTTGTTTTCCTTCTGAAGGAACTCAATATCTGTGGACAGTCCTGTCTATGAAGAAATAAAAACCGTGAATGAAAATCATACATATCTTCGGGAATCTCTTTGAAAATGTGAAAAACTTTGCATGTTGTTCTCTCGTCTCTTTTCACTTCCTCTTTTTTTTTGTGTTTGACTAATTCTCAAGCACTGGCGGATGCTGCTTCATTTGCCCTGTCCTTTTTATGATGAGGTGTTTTCTTAAGTTAGAAAAAAAATGCTTTGGAAGCAACAATTGAGGGTAAAATGCACTTGAAAAGAGTTCATCTTCAAGAGAATTCATCTTATGATTGTAATGTTCCGTATAGCTTCATCTCTGAAAAACGGTAAGGGAGAATTTGTCTGTTTGTGGTTTATGAATTTACATTTTAAAAGAAAAATAAGAAATGTCCTTGTCCTCTGTACGTGTTCATGCTGCATGTTTAAAAAACACAAATGTTTAGTCATTGCATTAAAAAAAATTAAAAGACTGGAATTTTACAGACTTGATTTCGAAGATGGAAACTGTTTCAACATATAGTATTTTTATTTGTTTGTGCAATTAAAAAAAAAAAATGTTTGTTCAGTTTTGACCTCTAAATAATTGGTGAAACTCACAAAAACATTTCTGTTTCACCTGAGAGTAATATGAAAAAAAAAAATTAATGTGCATTAAACATGAAATCTCTTTTTACTTCTTATTTTACTGTAATGAAAATTCTTGATGGATTTCATGAGATTCACCTTCACAGAAGCTAAAATAAAGCACTGTACATTGATTGTGTTGTAAATGTTGCTATTCTGATGTCAGTCAGGATGGCTTCTCCTCTTCTTTTGATCTTTCTGCTAATGATTCCGGGTAAGTCAGACCTGTTTCTGATTTTCAGCATCCTCCAGCTCTACGGATGCAGTTAATTTGAATAAAATAAATATATGTATATATAATTTCAGATGTTTTCAGTGAAAATGGTTGGCGTGTGAGTTACAGACATTCACACATCTGTGCACTAAAGAACTCATCAGTGATAATGAGCTGCACTTATAAATACCCTACTGAATATACGATCATGAATGTGTTCTGGACCAAAAACGCTGTAAAGGGTAAAGAGTCTCCAGATCTGTCTGAGGATCCTGAATACAGTCAGAGGCTTCAGTATCTGGGAGACAAACAGCAGAACTGCACCATCAGACTGAGTCATGTAACACAGAAAGATTCACACAAGTACTGTTTCAGATTCATCACTGATCAACCTGATGGAAAATGGACTGGTTATCCAGGAGTGACTCTTACTGTCACAGGTGACTTTCATGAGGCTGAGCTCTTCTTCTGTGCATTATGTTGAATAATAATCAGTGTATGACAGCAGCACTAGATATAATGTGTGTGTTGTGTTCAGATCTTCAGGTGGAGGCTCCTGAGAGAGTGACAGAGGGTCATAATGTCAGTCTGACATGTAAAAGCAGCTGCACTCTGACTGACAGAGCAACATTCATCTGGTACAGAAACTCACAGCCATTAACTGAGAGAAGAGACGGAAACAATCAACTCCTGCTGCAGTCAGTCAGAAGAGAGGATGCAGGCAGATACAGCTGTGCTCTACATGGACACAGTTACATCTCTCCTGCTGCTCATCTCAATGTCACGTGTGAGTACAGTCAGACTTTGCCAGCTTGAGTAAATGTATTCATATATGAGACATGTACAATGAAGAATTCATATCGTGTAATAGGGATGCACCGATACCGATACTGGTATCGGTATCGGGCCCGATACTGAGCTCTTGTACTCGTTAAAATGCCCCGATACCAAACGCCGATACCACACAGCATCTGTTAAGTGCCATATTCAGACAATGAAACACTGACAACAGAACAACAGACAGCAGAATGGAGTTATTAGAGATTAAGGATGTCTACGAAG